TAACTCTGAGGCAAGAAGGTCCACTTCCAGTTTCTCACCTGTGACATGGGCCCTGGAACAAGTCCAGGTGCAGAAACCACTCTTCTGGGTCCAGATACTACCAGTTATAGAAAATGCCTGTCAATTTTTTTTGCTGGGAATGTAAACAACTGAAGACTGGAACCTAAAGTTCAGCCAAGGACAGGATCTACATTACTTCTCTAGCTGCAGCAAGACTTCTAATTTTTCCCTGATGGTTGATGTACGCCAATCATATGTGAAGTTGTCTCAAAGGATCCAAAATCAGATGGCCTTCCAACAAGTTCGTGCAATGCTGAAGGTACAGCCAGATCATCCGAAGTTCCAAGATGTTGAATTCAAGATGAGATTCCTCCAACAGCCACGTGCCCTATACCAAACGAGTACCAAGGACTGAAACGCTAAAAGGCACGTCCCCACAGCCGTCACGCCATGATCATCATCATGATCTTCCAGAAAACGTAAAGAAACGACATCCCCAACTCCAAATGATGTAGCTCCAAACCACCAGGACAGAACAGCCTTGTCTTCAGCGTTAACCAAATTGGTTTGTCTAGAAAAAGAACTGACTTGCCCCAAGACTGAAAGATGTTGTGTTGCAAATTACTGGAGTGAAATTGGGCAAAGGGGCCCTCATAGAAGGAGGCTACCCTCAGCCCCAAGACCCTCATAAAGAAATGGAGGACCAGACTGTTTTTGGATTGAAGAACCTGAACCTAAGAGTCTGAAGTCTTTCCTGGGAAAGGAACATGCTCACCTAAGAAGTGTCCAGAACCAACCTCAGATATTCCAAATGAGTCAGATTCAACAACGATTTCTGAAGGGTCAGGATCTACCTAACCCTCTGCAACATTCATTCAGTCAGAAATACCTTGTTCTCCAAAGCCATTGACTGTTTCTGCAAAAGTAGGTTGTCCAAGTATTGCACAATGGGAATACCTCTAAACAGGGTCAAAACTAAAGGAAGTTATTTGGTGAACATAGGAGTAGCAGAAGACAAACTGAAGGACAGCATACTAGTAATGCAGAGGCCCTACAGAAAAACAAAACCTATTTGTGATCTGAAAGATAGGCACCTTTTATGTTCACAGAAAGTTCCCATGATGAAGTGAAGCAATTAAGAATCTGATGGATTCCATTCAGAATTTTTGGGCCCAAATGTAAAATTTAGAGACTGGAGTGATTATGTTTTGGGAATGTGAAGAGATTGGGACAAAACCCCTGAAACCTTTTTGCAGTTGGAACGAGGAGAATGATCCATTAATGATAGTAATTATGCAATAATCAAACCATAATCATATCAAAAATATCATCTGTGCATATAATATATAAAGTACAGATTGCAGCGCTCCACCATAAGTGATGTCTGTATTTAAACGATATCCTGTGTCTCCCAGTGATCTGCACTACCCACCACCACACACAGAATCTTACCGACTTCCAAGACCACAAATTACAGGTGGTCTTAAAATGATTTTATCCATACAAATTCAGTTGTTATCTGTGCACACACAACCTCACAACACATCAGTAGGGATTATTGTGCAGGGCACCTTTAAGGACCAAGAGTCTCAGAGAATCTCATAGGACTGCATTGAACACTTCCCTTGCACCAATCAATCACATCCAGCAACAGAGAACCAACCCAGCAACAGAGAACCAACCCAGCAACAGAGAACAAACGGCAACAGAGAACAGCCAACAGAGAACATAGTGAAGTTAAAAAATATGTACATCTACTCACAAATATAGTAGTCAAGCAAGCACAAAAGAAATCTCTCCAGCACCGCTGCTGACTCGGCAGGTGGGATGATGTCAGCACAGGCTCTGCCCTGATGCGTTTCATCCAATGGGGCATCCTCCGCCAACCCCTTTGGATGAAATGTGTTGGGGCGGAGCCTATGCTGACGTCATCACACTTGCAGAGTCAGCAGCGGTGCTGGAGAGATTTCTTTTGCGACTGATTGACTACTATATTTGCGAGTAGATGTACATACTTTTAGCATAAACGGTTTGTGCTTGGGCGCAGGAAAAAAAAAAAAAAAAAAAACGCAGTCATCGTCCTGACTTACCCAATCAAGGTAACTGCCCCAGAAGCAGGACAACTGTGGGAGTGATCCTTTGTACCACAGCCTAACTCATGTGCAGCACAGTAGCTCTGGAGCACTGACCATTGAAAAGGTTTAGTTTAACTGCTCCAGAACTAGTATTTTGTACACATCAAGGAAAAATGGCTATCAAAGTTCTTTAAGACTTAATGTAAAATGGAACTGAAGGCATTAAACCCCCCCCCCCCCCCCCCCCAAAAAAAAAAAACACTGCAAGACAGGCAGGCTATTATCACATGCAAGGTCTCTTCTGCAAGGAAATATAGCTACCTGCCTGCTCGCAGTCTTCTGTGGCATGCAAACTGAGCTACTCATGCATAGCTCAGTTTACATTGCCGACACTGTCCGCGTGGGCTGGGATAACTTACTCCTGCACATGTACAGGAGTTACGTCATCCCATGCTGGCCAATAGAGATGCCCAAAGACCAGAACCTGGTATGAAGATGCTGGCACGTGCTAGCGGCCTGGACTGCTAGAGAGAGGAGGTAAGTTTAATTCCACTTTAAAAAGCATTTCTACCAATAATGCTTCACAGCAGATTAACCCCTTGCCTACTAGGCATTTATACCCCCTTCCTGCCCAGGCCAACTTACAGCGCTGTCGCACTTTCAATGACAATTGTGCAGTCATGCAACACTGTACCCATATGAATTTTTTTATCATTTTTTTCCCCCACACACAGAGCTCTCTTTTGGTGGTAATTACTCGCCGCTGGGTTTTTTATTTTTTTTTGCGCCATGAACAAGAAAAAAAAAAAAAAGTTTGTTTCTATTATAAAAACTTTTGCAAACAGGTAATTTTTCTCCTTCACTGATGTGCGTTGATGAGGCTGCACGGATAGGCAGCACTGATGAGGTGGCACAGATAGGTAGCACTGATGGGCACTGATGAGGTGGCACAGATAGGTAGCACTGATGGGCACTGATGAGGTGGCACAGATAGGCAGCACTGATGAGGTGGCACAGATAGGCAGCACTGATGAGGTGGCACAGATAGGCAGCACTGATGAGGTGGCACAGATAGGCAGCACTGATGAGGTGGCACAGATAGGCAGCACTGATGAGGTGGCACAGATAGGCAGCACTGATGAGGTGGCACAGATAGGCAGCACTGATGAGGTGGCACAGATAGGCAGCACTGATGAGGTGGCACAGATAGGCAGCACTGATGAGGTGGCACAGATAGGCAGCACTGATGAGGTGGCACAGATAGGCAGCACTGATGAGGTGGCACAGATAGGCAGCACTGATGAGGTGGCACAGATAGGCAGCACTGATGAGGTGGCACAGATAGGCAGCACTGATGAGGTGGCACAGATAGGCAGCACTGATGAGGTGGCACAGAATAGGCATGATCAGTGCCGATCACTTTTCTGACAATTGCTGGTTAACGGCAGTATTTTCCTCATGCTGTGACCGTGTAAGGAAAGTGCAACCGATAACTGGCAACTGTATTTACCCGGTGATCTGCTGTGTCATTAGATGCAGTTGATCACATGGTAAAAGGCCGCTGTGATTGGCCGTTTACCGTATCATGTAATCAGCCATGTCCGTATCACCGGCGGCACACAGGAATGACATTTATGGACGTCAACCCAGCACTAGACAACCGCGCTGTAGCCATTTTTCGGCTATAGCGCAGTAGGGAAGAGGTTAAAGAGCATCTGTTGTGAGAAAAAAAAAAAACCATGTGGGCCGCCATTGCTGACCACCTTCTAAAAAGGCAATCGCTGCTTTAATCCTTTAAGTTGCAGAACAACTAGGTAGCAAGTGAAGTAAAAAAAATCCTAGGCACTTGGACATGCGATTTCTGTTGGAAGAGGAAGACCAAAGTTCTGCTCCTCGCCTTCAAAAGAGAACATAGGAATAAAGGCCTATTCTTTGTGTCACATAAGCAGAACTGAACAGAGCCAGAAGCAGCATTTTCTCCAGAAAATGTATTTAATCTGGCTCTATTTTCTGACTTGCCAGTAAAAAGATGAGAGTGTGTTCTCAGAATGAGAGTAAAAACGGCACAGAACAGAGTCTTGTGAAAGGATGTTGAAGTTCCTCCCTGGAATAGTGTGAACAAGCCTGTTGAATTTTTAATGTTGAAACTAAAAAAAACAAAACCACACAAACATGTAGATGGACTAGTATTTCCATTAGCATAAGGAAATGCTTCCTGGATATCGGTGGCTACTTTATGCTTTGACTTACAACATCATCATTAGGACTGTAGGTACATACTGTAAAATTAGAATTTTTTTTTTCCGTGAAATAGCGCCCTCTGCTGACTAACTATTATTACAGAATGAAATCAAGACGCACACACACGTCTCAACTGATGATGAATTCAGAACACCATTAGCACGCCCAAAAGGACACAATTTTCAATATTTCAAATTTAACCTCCAAAAAGTAAACAAACCAATAAAATCACACAGGAGCTTTAAAGCTGAACTGCGGGATTGTGACAAAAATAAACCCTGAAGTGGGGTCCTCCCACACTACAAGGGTTACATAGTTGGTGAGGTTGAATAAAAGACACCAGTCCATCCAGCTCAAACTGTGGGTGTGCGCACGCTCAGGTTAAATATCCTATCCCATATCCCTGTATATTGTGCTTGGGAAGATGCCCATCTAAGTTTTTTTTTTTTTTTTATATATCAATACTTCCCACTGACAATACGGATTGTAGAAATGAGTTCCACATCCTTACCGCCTGGACAGCGTCAGTCACACTGCAAGGGTTTTTTTGTCACATTCCCAGAGTACAGCTTTAACATGTTAATGTGATTTCAAAGGTAATGTGATTTCAAAAGGTAATGTTCAATATTTTAAACTCTGCAGCTTTTATTTAAAGTGTTACTCTCCCCGGACCCTGCATTCGCTACATCCGGTCTCCCCGGACCCTGCATTCGCTACATCCGCTCTCCCCGGACCCCGCATTCACTATATCCGCTCTCCCCGGACCCCGCATTCACTATATCCGCGCTCTCCCCGGACCCCGCATTCACTATGTCTGGTCTCCCCGGACCCTGCATTCACTATATCTGGTCTCTCCCCAGACCCCCCGCATTCACTATATCCGGTCTCCCCGGACCCCGCATTCACTATATCCGGTCTCCCCCAGACCCCGCATTCACTATATCCGGTCTCCCCGGACCCCGCATTCACTATATCCGGTCTCCCCGGACCCCACCACATATCCGGTCTCCCCGGACCCCACATTCATATATCTGGTCTCCTCGGACCCCGCATTCACGATATCTGGTCTCCTCGGACCCCGCATTCACGATATCCGGTCTCCCGGACCCCGCATTCACTATATCCGCTCTCCCCGGACCCTGCATTCACTATATCCGGTCTCCCCGGACCCCGCATTCACTATATCCGGTCTCCCCGGACCCCGCATTCACTATATCCGGTCTCCCCGGACCCCGCATTCACTATATCCGGTCTCCCCGGACCCCACATTCACTATATATCCGGATCTCCCGGACCCCGCATTCACTATATCTGGTCTCCTCGGACCCCGCATTCACGATATCTGGTCTCCTCGGACCCCGCATTCACTATATCCGGTCTCCCGGACCCTGCATTCACTATATCCGGTCTCCCGGACCCTGCATTCACTATATCTGGCCTCCCACAGCAGCACACAACATGGAAGTGCAATTATTTTAGTAAATATAAACTGCCAAATACCTTTTCTCATCAGCAATTAGAACAGTCTTGTGACTTCTATCAGTGTCCAGCTGAGCACTGGTTAAACCTTGTAAGAGGAGTTTTCTTTCTGCTCTAGGATGCAAAACCCCTGACCTCTGTCTGGACAGTGCTGATTGGCCCTGTGCTGATCACATGCACTCTCCCAAGAAAAAAAAAAAAAAAAAAAACCCTCCCTAGCAATACACACTAAACTCAGCATGTGCAGTATGGCTACAGGTTCAGTTTGTCTTATCAGGAAATAAGATGTGGACATTAGAACAAAAAGGAGGAGCAGAGAAGACAGGATCAAACCAACTTTTTATACAATGTGGAGGATTAAGCCCTTAGGTTCCCACAGCGAGTATAACAAGCACACTTTACTGCATCTACAGACTGATTGTACAGTTGTGGATTTAGTAACACTTTATACGTAATGATTCTGCCATGAAGATCCCGGTTTCAGAAGTTTATCCCGATTGTGCTCCTGCATTGTCATTCTGTCACACAGGCTTTCCATGAAAACAAACTGTCCATTTAAAAAAAAAACAAAAAAAAAAAAAAAAAACCCTTTAGGACCTGTGTGGATTGGGCTTTTGTTCACGTCCTTTATCGCTTTTCCCCTCATACAGGTCTATGGGATGGCAAAAGCCGCTTGAAGCAAATCGATGTAGCCTAGGAAGCAACATTAATGTACACACAATTAAAAGTGATCACACCTTTAGAGAGCCTAGGGACAAGGCGTGACAAGGGAAGAGTCACTTCTACAAGTTATTAGTGCATTACTGTTGCTGCTTATTAAAGATTATTATAGTTTTAATGCACAAAGGTCTCTGTGTCCTGTTTTTTTTTTTTTTTTTGTTTTTTTTAGCCTATGGACCGGCCAGCGTAAAGACTAAGGCTGGCCATACACTATACAATTTTCTGTTCAATTTCCTTTAGATTTACCTTCAACTGTGTAGTGCAAGGGCCTGCCTAATTGGATACAATTGAAAGTGTTGTTTAAGTTTGACCTCATATTATATGGTTTTTGGTAAACCTAAAGCAAAAATCTCAAGAAAATTGTATAATGTATGGCCAGCCTTAGTCTACATATGATGTCCCTTTAGACAGTTTGTTTGGCCAGGCCAGCCCGAATGAACAAGCTGTGCTTGCTGGGCATGCTGTATTAACTGTATGTATTCACTACATATAAAACATTGCTGGGTTCTGCCAGTGGGATGAGAACTTCCCTCCTCACTCCCAGAACAAAACAGTCAGGCCGAGTGTTGCTCAGCCATTCATGGGAGGCTTTGTATCCTATGAAAGAAAACAAAGCTTCCTGCGATTGGCTGGGGCGGGCGAATGACATTAGGATCTCCAGTATACACAACTATTTAAAAAGGACAAGTGGCTTTAACCTCCCCGCCTACAGGGCACTTATACCCCCTTCCTGCCCAGGCCAATTTCCAGCTTTCAGCGCTGTTGCACTTTGAATGACAATTGCTCGGTCATGCAACATTGTACACATATGACATTTTTATCATTTTTTTGTGACAGATAGAGCTTTATTTTGGTGGTATGGTTCATCTTTTTTTTTTTTTTTTCTTAAACCAAAAACCACTGAAAATTTTGAAGAAAAAAAAAAAAAAAAAAGTTTGTTATAAAGTTTTGTAAAATAAAATTTTGTAAAATAAGCAATTTTTCTCCTTCACTGATGTGCGCTAATGAGGTTGCAGTGATGGGCACTGATGAGGAGGCACTGATGGGCATTGACAGGCATCACTGATGGGCACACTGAAAGGCAGCACTCATACGGCACTGATAGGCGGCACTGACTGGCAGATAGGCAGCACTGACTGGCAAATAGGTGGCACTGGCATTGATGGATGACACTGGCAGCTCAGATGGGCACTGATATGTGGCATTGATGTGGCACTGATTGGCACTAGCAGGTGGCATGGATGAGCACTGAGAGTTGGCACTGATGGACACTGACAGGTGGCACTGCTGGGGCTACACAGATCATCAGTGCACACTGATCATCAGTGCCCTGATGATCAGTGTACATGTCCCCTCCGAGGAATGCCAATTACCGGCTCTCCTCTCCTCTATCAGCGTGACAGCTCGTGGGGAGAGAAATGCCGATAACCGGCATTTCCCTGTTTACATGCGATCAGCTGTGATTGGACACAGCTGATCACATTACCGAGCCGACATCTTTGGCTCTTTCCGTGGAACGGTGAACCACTGTGTCCGAGGGACACAGCGCACCACCGATCACCACGCGCTCCAGGAGCCCCGCATGTGGGGTTAGAATGGGAGGACGTCATATAACGTCCTCCAAGAACGAGAGAACCGCCTTGCATCTGTCATATTACTATATGGTGGGCAGGAGGCGGTTAATAAGCTGTTGCAAGACCTCTGCTTTCAAACAACCTGAATACTAGTGTTCCAAAAAAAAAAACAAACACCTTTTTGGGGAGGACAAGTTATAAAATTTTAACTAATTAATTATATGCAGCTTAGATGGATATCAAGTGCAAGATAGAAGGTGGGGAGGTTAATGGTCAAATGCATCTATCGATGAATTTTGCATGATCTCGGAAGCATCTCAAAAGTGATCTCAAATGCAGAGCAGACCTGAATACACACGACCTTGATCGATCAACACAAAACCTAATGCAGGCCATACATGGTTCGAATTTTCGAACAATTTTTCCTTCGAAAATTGAAAATGTCGTTCGCTCGGTAATCCAATGGTGCCATCAAATGATTTCAAAAATCGTCCGACCGAGTCATAACGTTCACCCCATATAACAGGCGAAACCTCCGTTCCTTCCAGGTCACGGGCTCATGCGCATATTCTTTTCAGAAAAACGATCGTACAAATTTGACAGTCATTGAGTCGAAAATCGGTCTTTTTTCACTAATTTTCCAACATGCCTGATCACCAAAAAGGGGAGGAACCATGAAAATCGACCGATGCCATTGACCCACAAACAGAGCGAAAATCGGATGATTATTCTCAGGTCTGATTTTCGAATGAAAAAAATCAGTCGAATTTTGACCCATGTATGGGCGGCATAATACTGTGGACCCCTGTGCAGGAATAATCTATTTGGTCAGGGAACCCACCCTGAGAAATGCCATGCAGCCATTAGTGCATTGCAAATAGTCAAGTGTGGAGCCTGTGATCAACTTCCCAAACCGTCCTCTCCGCTCCTCAGCTCCCTTGTCTCCTCCTCCCATGCTCGTCTCTAGGACTTCTCCAGAGCCTCCCCCATCCTCTGGAACTCTACCCCAATTTATCAGACTATCGCCTACTCTGCTCACTTTTAGGCGATTTCTGAAAACCTCTTCAAAGAAGCCTATCCTATCCTCAGCTAATAATCTTCTACTCCTACCAGTCCATCCCACACAGTTACTACCTTTTGTACTACTAGCCCCTCCCTCCTAGATTGTAAGCTCCCAGGATCAGGGCCCTCCTATCCCTCTTGTATTGAACTGTATTGTTGCTGTATTGTCTCCCGTTATACTGTAAAGTGCTGAGCAAACGGTTGGCGCTATATAAATCCTGAATAATAATACAACAAACAAGCTGATCCCAAAACATCAGTGTATGGAGAAATATGGGGGGGGGGGGGGGGTCCAAAATTACATTTTGGTTCAATTATTCAAACTTCATTCTGACAACAATCAAGGGGAAAAAAAAAAAAAAAACAAAAAAAAAAAAAAAAACACCACCACACTAAAATCTGCATAAAACACAAGATCTGCATATGAAAATCATCAAGACATGCTACAAACTCAGGACTTCTCAAATGGTTTCTATTTTGGGGGTTAGAAGCTTTCTCCTAGGATACATTATAGAATTATTGACGTGAGGTCAGAGGAGGAACCAGCGAAAGCTTTTTTTTGAGGATATAGATCTTCAGGAGAAGATATTGTCATTCCCAGAAGTGTTCATTTCTCAGCAGACCATAAGATTAAGTGACAGGGTCTCTTTAACCCCCTCGAGTACTGGGCACCAAGTCCTGCCCAGGCCAATTTTCAGTGCAGTTGTTTTTTGAATGACAGTCATGCAACACTTCCCAAATTAATTTTTTTTTTATAAGACAGACAGGGCTGTCTTTTGGTGTTTGTTTTTTTTTTTTGCTAAACAAAAAAAAAAAAAAAAATCAAAAATGAGAAAAAAAAAAAAGTTTCTCACTTAGTTAGAAAATTTTGCAAACAGGTAATTTTTCTCCTTCACTGTGTGCGCTGATGAGGTTGCACTGATGGGCACTGTATAGATAATCAGTACCCTGATCAGTGTAAAGGTCCCCTTTCACAGATGCAGATTACCGGCTCTTCTCCACTCACGCTGCGATAGGTAACAATTGATCACGTCGTAAAAGGGCCACTATGATTGGCCCATTACCGTGATCTGTGATCAGCTGTGTCCGATTGACACAGCGATCACAAAGCGCGTGGGAGGCGGAGGCCCTCCCAGAACTGGACAAACACACTGCAGCCATCATTTTGCTATAGTGTGGTCAGCAAGTGGTTGACATGAAATGTGAACAAAGTAGATCCCTTTATAATCACACAGTATTAAGGCGCTCCAGGCGAGTTATCAAAATGCTTCCTGCTGCCAGCTGTAACCAAGGGTGCTAGCCTAGCTTGTCTATCAGTACAAGTGAAAGGAATATACCCGGAATCCGCTGCACTTCCTTC